GGAAAGAGGAAACCAGATTGATTTTGCTTCAGTAGCAAAGAATTGCTATCTTTTGTAAATGTACGACTGAGAATTTAAAACACATTGAGTCACAAGGTTTTGCCTAAAAAATGAGGAAATGTGCTGTGAATGTACTTCAGCATCTTTTGGTTTTCCTCCGTATAGTTTAAATAAAATCATAATATTAACTACAAACTCTGTGGACATTTACAGAGTCCAGGCCAGCAATAAATTAGTATTATGCAAATTGTTTTCACAGATTAATACAGTCCCTCTTGTGTATCTTTAATCACGCGAAGTTGGTTTTGGAGGGCCCCCTAGACCAGGTTGTACTCCTTCAGGTTTAACTGTAGGATCGTGTCCTTGACAGCAGCAAAGACGAAGCGGATATTCTCTGTGTCTGTAGCACATGTGAAGTGGGAGTAGATAATTTTATCACTGTCTGGATTCAGGTCTACAAACATCTTCAGGATGAACTCTCGTGCTGCTTGTGCATCCCGCTGTGGTCCTGATAATCAAGAAGAGAAAGTCAGTTTTCTTAAAATCAATTCTATATTTGAACTTCTTTAACAGAAAACAGCAAAGGGTCAGTCTGTGGTCCTCCCATGAGAAAAGACAGGGAACTTTTTACTAATCAATATAAAGGCTACTTTTTTTCCTGGTAGGAACTATGAAAAATAAAGATGGAAGGAAATTTCTGAAGTTCATCCAGTCAGAGCAATCATGTCAAAGCTGCTCTTTTTGCTGACTACCCTCTTTCTTCAGTAAGACAATGTTTCAAACAAGTGTTTTTTAACTGCATGGAATGAAAAACGAAAAACTAGTTATACTAATAAATCTTCAAAAATGTTAGTAAAATTTGTGAATGTTCCATCTACACCTACTATATTTAATTATATTTAAATTATTTTAACACTGCAACATTTTACTAGTTTTATGAGGATTTTAACAGGTAGCATAATGAAGTTACATCCTGAACTGATCTGACACTGCCACCAATGCAACTTCATTTACTTTGGTGATAATGAAATACACATGCTCTCCAGCTGAAGCTGTTTGATTGCAAAAGGCTCTTGTTCTAACAAATCACTTGTTATCTAAATTATGTATGATAATGATCCTATCAGATCTAAATTAAAGTTGTAATTCTCAGAAGGATGCAGTCTATGTAACCAAACCACACGTTCAGCTTTACAGAAGACAGAAGGTAATGACTTCCAGCCTGGAACAGTGAGGATTCATTCATGTTCACAGACAAAAGAGCAGTGGAGAAGCAAGAATATTGGCCACAAGCTGTTGAATTCTGTTCCATTATTCCAGTGCCATTTCTGAAGGCCATTATTCCCTTGCTTTCCTGTTTCTGGAATGTGGGTTTTCCCAAAACAGATGTTTACTGTGCTGCCACCTCCTCTTATTCTCTTCAGTACTCCTGGTCTTGTTACATCGCAATATAAATATCAGCACTCAGCTGTTATATGTAGCTCCATCCTTCAGTAGTTAAGAAATTTGTACTTTGGGGCCCATGCCCACATATTTTTCAACAATTGGATAATAAACCTTATTTTTAATACTTCAAGCTTACAATTGTGAACATTTCCAATTTGGACAACTGCATAAAATTTAGGCAAGGAATGCATGGAAGAGAAATCACATACTTTCTTGTGTGCTGCAAATCTATGTGGAAGGGGAGTGAGATTCTGCAGTATGTGTATACACATATACGTACATATTTGTACATAGACACACACATAGAGATTACACATTTCCTGAGATTTATGGATGAAAGCAGATCATAAGCTCTCTGGAGCAGGACAGAGGACTGTTCAACACTTCTACACCTTCTAAAACGCAGCAGGGTCTAGCCTTTGGCTTTGTCACCCAGACTCTACAGAAACAGCAGAAACAATGTCTCACACTGTCATGAATAAATTTGCAATATTTAAGAATTTTAATAAAATGCTTAGACTTTCAAAGACAACAATAAACCACTTACTGTTTTAATCAACTTTCTAGAATTTTGTTAAACAGTTTCACAGTAGCTAGACATAGCACTCTCTCAAAATCTACTGCACTATTCAAAGCCTGTATGCAACTTTGCTTAACCTAATGACACCTCTACTGACTATCATGTAATTTAAATTTTCATTTGATTGAAGATCAAGTATGGAAAGCTGAGGTTACAATGAACATTTATGACCTCAGGGATTCAGAAAAAAATTGAATCAGTCAATGATAAATTTAGACTGCAAAGTGGTTGTGATCTAAATAATATGGAGACTTGGAAAATAACTGATGAATAAATCAGTTGGTTTCTTGTCCACTGCTCCCTAATCAGCAGTTTTCAGAGTGTCTCTACATGATACGTGCAAGTTCTACGTAAGAAGTACTACATCAATATTTTTATCTTCTTTTTCTCCCAACTATGGCCCTTTTTTGTCTTTGTCCTCTCTCCTTCTTCCAGCTCTTCATTCCAGTCTGTGACTTAGGCTTCTAGTACCAGCCATGCAGGATGTCTTCATGCGATACACTGACCCCTGAGCATGCCTCAGTCTCCCTTCCAATGCTGTTACAATATACTGTGCAGCAGAACTGCTTAGCTTAATCAGTCCGATTTGCCATCCTGGCTAGCAGATGTCATCGCTATGCTGTTTTCTCTCTTCCGGGAAAACAGATTGGAGAAATGATCCAGCTGAAGAATACCTAATTCTGATCCCTTCCTCAAATCTTCCCACCTCTCACATCTCCCGTGTGCTGGGACAAAAGAGGGGACCACACGGTGACTTCTGCAAGCCATAGACCGCACACTGCCACCAGCATAAATCAAATCATAAGCCTGTCTATGGAGTTACGTCCAGCAAGATCTGCAGAATTAAGAGACAAAGACTCTTGAAGACTTCCAGGTCTTGACTTCAACAGCCCTACCAGTCCCTCATATTTTTTTCCCTCACCAATGGCAAAGAACAGGAGAAAAGAGAGTTTATCTGAGCTGAGTTGAGTGGGTTGAGTTTTGTCTGGTTTTTTTGGATAAGCATTTAACATAGGCTTTATCATCACTTGAGTGGTGATAAAAGAACTCACCTTCAGCAGGTCACCTGCAGAAACTGTCATTCAAAATAACTTCAAAAGAATGAGTGTACTTCTATTAAAACGCCAGTTCTCTTCTGCATAGCACTATGAAACTAAACTTACACAGGTTCATAAATTATATGGTCTGATGCTGCACCCTGTTACACTGTTTCCTTCCCCTTAAACAGGAAACAAATGTAAATTTTCCCTGTTATTACTCTCCATGTTTGAACACGGAAAATTAAATCTTTTATTCTGCTTTCAAATATGCTCTTCACTCCCTGGTGGAACAAACCAAATTTTTTTAAAACAACATAGAAGCATTTAGTTCTTTACATATCTTATTGTATGATTTTTCTCTATTATGAAAGCCTCCACTCAGTTACTTCAAAATACTCAGCTTTTTACCTCCGGAGAACTTTCTGAAAAGGATGGTTTTAGTAGAAACAGCGGTGCAATCCACAAACTTTTTTTATGGACAAGCACATTAAGCTTCACATAAATAATGCAAAATTAAAAGAAAGGAAAAAAACAGGTACAATGGAAGGGTGGAAGGACTGGTACTGGTTTCTCTGAGTGCCACAGAGAGCTTATAACACTTCCCCTCAGATATTTAGCCTTACACAAAACTAAACCTCAAAAAAAAAAAAAAAAAAAAAGAGTATGGGAGACCATGTGTAAAAGTGAGGAATGCATTTTTGTTTCTTTTTAGTTTTTATACTTCAGTTTAAGCCCTTACCCCAACTTATAAAAAAGACAGAATGTGGTTCTCTGCTAATACAACACTCATCTAAAAGTCAATAACTGCCCATGAAAGGTTCTGCCATCCTACCCACAATTCATTACAGTATAAAAGGAAGTCCTAGCAGTCTGAAAAATCCCACGACAGTTCAATCACATTATAAAAACTTAGATGATTGAAAATTGGAAAACACCTTTTTTTTTTTTTAAGAGCAAAATATATCAAAGGATCTATCTGTCTAGCATTTGGACAAGGCCATTACAATTTGTCATTATGGCAGCGTATATAGAGCATGAACTCTGATGTCATTATACTTACCATCATACTCTGGAAAATAATCAACTAGATGGGAGTACATAATTTTCTCCTCTAAGAGATCTTTTTTATTTAAGAACAGAATGACTGAAGAGTTCTGGAACCATGGATATGTGATAATTGTCCTAAAGAGTGCTTTGCTTTCTTCCATTCGATTCTGGAATAAAAAAGAGTGGAATTTTGGTGGTCATGAAAATAACTTTTTTTTTTTAAAAAATAAATTAATGCAATTTCACTTTTTTTTGGTAAATGGATCCATTTCACATTTTTCACCTTCCTACCAATATGTAAGGTTCAAATAATTAAATTACAATTAATAAGTAAGCACTTAGATATGCAGGCATTTTCCTTCTGCAAATTCAACTGCTCAAGCATAACTATTCTTTAAGACACAGGTCATGAACATGAAAGCTGCAACACGTACATTTGTAAAGTCTGAGCATGCACAGTTATGACCAACAAACTGGTGGGTATTGAAATGCATGTGATTCATGGTAGGGACAAGTATACCACAACAAGACATAATAAGCAATTCAAGGTTTAAGAACATTATTTGTTTTATAGGACCATCCTGAACTTAAAATGCAGAGTTAGATAATTCTTAGATATAGATCAGCTTTAAAGTAGTTGCAAGTAAATCTGGAACCTGAGAACATTTCATCAGCACCACAGGCTTCTGACATAAAATCTTAAAAATCTGTAAATTGCTGACTTTGTTTCTAGTATAATTAGATTAGCCTTTACTTTAATTGCTTAGCTGCTCCTGAAAACCACTCTGGATTATAGCTGAAATGCATGTGAAGTCTGCAGTTCTATTTGTATCACTTTTCTGTCTGTAGAATTATGATTTGGTACAGTTCTCAAGAACTGTTACGCTGACATGATGTAGTTAATAGAGTCAGAACAAACTGAGTTCAAAACAAAGGAATTAACTTACTCCTTTTATTAGTATTATTTAAAGCTGCAGCCCCCTGAAAAACACCTGTTTCACAACCAAACAGGGCTCCAGAGAACAACAGCAAGGAGGTGAATCCTGCAGATTCTGCTATTACTCAGCCATACAACAATCTGTCAGATAACTCAGTTTTGCAGTAAGTGTATCTTTACTTGCATTAACTTGCATTTTAAAGAGATCAACATAAGTATGAAGAATAAGAACTTTAAAAACAACAAAAAACCCCAAAAAACAAACCCTAAAAAAATTTTGTTTTGTAGAAGCTGATGGTTTGGTCTCTTATGTCACCACAGAATCTTCAAGCAAGTTATAAAACTTTACTGCATGTTTGAGTGGTGGGTGAAAATAAATAGCTGAATATATAAATTGAGAAATGAATGCAGAGGAGTAAAACCTTTGATTTCTTGCAGTCACTTCTTATGACTCATATTAATTTCAGTGGTGCCAGGATTTCATTCAGAAAGAAGAAAAACTGAAACGTCTACAGAGCTGAGCATAAATCCTAAATCCTTAGACTAACTGTTAATCTGTGTTTTCTTCTCAACATGCTGTATAGCTTCTTCTCTAAACAAGGCTTTATAGAAAGGCAATGAAAAAGAGAAGGCAACATAAACTTACAAACTACTGTTTAAATTATAAATATTTATCTAAACTTATGAGCACCTGGTATTTCCTAGTGTGACATTCAGAAGGTGAAAAAGCATCATGACTCAATTAGCAGTGTTCTTTCACAGTACATTTATAAGCTATTGAAAACTTGTCAGTAAGAAAAGTACACAGAAAACACAAAGAAATTACTGATCTAGAGTAAGTGTCCCTGCCTGCCACAAAAACCCTTCAAGATGGCTACAATATTTTCATCTCTAATGCTGATTTTTTTTTGTATATACGTAACACAGAATTCCAGAAACAAAAATAAATAAATTGGTTTGAATAAATTTATGATCCTTCCTCCAGGACAACTCAGGAAAACTGTGTTTTGCAAACATTGTTATTAGACCAAAAGCACATTTTAATTTTGTCTTTGAAAGAGATGCCAAAGAAGACGAAGCAGAAAAAGTATGCAGCCTAAAAGATATTGATATTATGCCTAAACAGTTTCTGGTATCCTATCACCTACAACATTAACTCTGTATGTGCTGTGTCCTAAAAATACCGGGAGACATACACAAGAACAAAATACTGTGTCTTCAATGTAAGAAGAGTATGTATTACGAATATTAATTACGAATTCTGTATAATATGAATTGCATTCCACAGAGTCACGTTTTTCCTATTATAAATGTGTCTCAAGTCCTTTCAGATTTGACTTGAGGCAGCTGATTTAAACATCTCCTTGACAAGATATCTGCTAAGCATTCCACTCAACAAACAGATCGGAGATGAAGGAGGTTTCCATGAGTTCAAAGATAGTTCAATTAATTCAAAACCAATCTGGGATGCCCAAAAACAATACTACTAAGAAGGCAGCACAGAAGAGCTGCTTCATTAAATTAAATAATGTTATAGCAAAGGAAATGAATACAGGCTTGAGAAATTTACAGAAAGGTCAATATGTGCAATCTAACACAACTGAAACAAATGCTGAACTCCTTTAGAAAAAAGACATAGTTCAGGAACTCAAGTCAATAAAACACTACCAGATTATCCCAGTCTCATTCACTTCACTGTAGTCTTTAGTACAGTCAGAACTCATGGCCAAACAGCCAAAAACTCCCTCACTGGCACACACAGAAGGGAGGGGGGCCAATAATGCAAAAGAATGGAAGCTTGCAACAGCAAGGACCATCAGGAGAAAGAGGCTTCCCCCAAAGCCCGAGGTGCCCTTGCAGAACTGCTTCACCACTCTGCAGACTGAAGAGGGAAGACGCGTCACATCAGAAGGGATGCTGGAGCTGTGTAAGGCATCCCTACCCATACAACAACCAGTGCTATTAAGAAAAGGCGATGGGTGACAGCAGTAGGTGACTCTCTTCTTAGAGGTGTGGAGGCACCCATTTGCTGACCTGACCCACTCTCCAGAGAGGTGTGCTGCTTACCAGGGGCTCATATCAAGAATGTCACCAAGCCTCATACAGCCCGCTGGCTATTATCTGCTGCTGTTGTTTCATGCGGGCAACAGTGATACAGCCAGGAGTGAGATCTGAAGAGTATCAAGAAGGATTACAGAGCCCTGGGAGAGGTGGTAAGGGACTCTGTAGTGAAGGCAGTTTTTTCATAACTCCTCCTGGTCAAGGGGAAGGGGTTTGAAAGGGCCAGTCAAATCTGGCAAGTCAACAATTACAGGACTGGTGGACAGCTACAGTGGGGTTCAGCTACTTGGACCATGCAACTTGCTGGTGTACTGGGGGCCGAGGGGGTCCATCAGTCAGAGAAGGAGAGGAGGATCTTTGGTCACAGGCTTGCCAACCTGGTGAAGAGGGTTTTAAACTGAAGTTGCTGGCAGAGGGGAACCTCAATCCATCCCACTCCTACCAGTTTGACGCCAGTGCCAGCAACAGATTCCCAGAGCCTGCAGAAGCATCACAGGCCTGAAGAGCAGCAATCAGGAAATCCAGCCAGTACATCAGCTTCAGCAAGGGCCCAACTTAAGTGCCTCTATGCAAATGCATGTAGCACGGGGAATAAACCAGAGGAATTAAGAGATGTGTGCACACCTGCAGGGCTATGATCTCACTGGCATCACAGAGACATGGCAGGATGGATCCTACTACTGGAGTGTTGGAGTGGAAGGACACAGGCTCTTTAGGAAGGACAGACACGGAGATGAGGAGCAGATGCTGCCCTCTATGTCAGTGACCAGGTGGAGTGCATGGAGCTCTGCCTGGGGATGGATGAGGAGCCAACCAAAAGCATATGGGTCAGGATTAAACGGAGGGCAGGGACAGGTGGCATTACGGTGGGAGTCTGCTACAGGGCACCTGACCAGGAAGAGCAAAGATATAAGGCCCCTCTATAGACAGACAGGAGCAGCCTCACGCTCACAAGCCCTGGTCCTCGGAGGGGACTTCAACCACCCCGATATCTGCTGGAGGGACAATGCAGCACAGCGTTAAGCAAGGAATGAGGTTCGTTGAGTGGGTTGATGATAACTTCCTTCTCCAAGTGATAAAGGAGCAAACAAGGAGAGGGGCTATGCTGGACCTTGTTCCCACCAAGGAAGGGCTCGTGGGGAACATGAAGCTCAAGGGCAGCCTGGGAAACAGTGACCATGAAATGGTGGAGTTCAAGATCCTCAGGGCAGTGAGGAGGGCACACACCAAACTCACTACCCTGGACTTCAGGAGAGCGGACTTTGGGGTTTTCAGGTATCTGCTTGGTAGAGTCCCATGGGATAAAGCCCTGGAAGGAAGAGGGGCTCAAGAAAGCTGGTTTAGTATTGAAGGATCACCTCCTCCAGGCTCAGGAGCCATGCATCCCAACAAAGAGGAAGTCAGGCAAAAACGCCAGGAGGCCTGCATGGATGAACAAGGAGCTCCTGGACAAACTCAGACAAAAAAGGAAGCCAAACCCAGACAAAAAAGGAAGCCTACAGAGGACTGAAGCAAGGACAGGTAGCCTGGGAGGAATACTGAGAAACTGTATGAGCAGCCAGGGATCAAGTTAGGAAAGCTAAAGCCCTGATGGAATTCAATCTGGCCAGGGACATCAAGGGCCACAAGAAAAGTTTCTATAGGCCCAGAAAGCCAACCACATCCTGGGCTGCATCAAGAAGAGCATGACCAGAAGATTGAGGGAGGTGATTGTCTCCCTGTACTCTGCTCTTGTGAGACTCCATCTGGA